TGTGTGTGTGTGTGTGTGTGTGTGTGTGTGTGTGTGTGTGTGTGTGTGTGTGTGTGTGTGTGTGTGTGGGCAGAGACTGGTTCTCTGCAGTGTCTTGTCTAGTGTGGACCTGGTAGGGGGAGAATTTGGGTTGGGGGGTTGGAGGGTATAATGGACATACAACTGTTCTGAAATCAAGAGTGACTTTGCTGTTGCTAACTTTGTATGTCATTGTTGAAATCAATAAAACAAAGTTGGAATAATACACTGAACAATAATAAAGTATAGCTACCTTGGTATCATTGGTGTAGGACCCTCCATTACTATATATGGATATATATGGTATTAGACATTATTGTAAAATTATTTGCATGTAGGTTGTCTGGTGGGTTTCTATGCTGATAATTGTGTTTGTCTGTCATATTTTGGTCTAGTGTCTGACTTTGAAGAGGTTCAATGAGACAAAAGCAGATACGTCTGAAATGTTTAGAGCACAAACTGTGAAAACGATCTCTTTTGGATGGCTGCACTTCAGCAACACGCAGTCCAGATTCATTCAGCGTTGAGCATGTGAACAGTGCATGATCAAGGCGGAGACAATGTGACGTTAAGTGCAGGGTGGCCAATGGCAGCGTGTGCTTCCAGCCTATGGTCGTACAGTACATACTATGAGCTCTGCCTCCTTCCTCTTGGTGCAGCGATGAAAGGAGATGAGACCGCGGATGTGCTATAAAACCGTTTGTTAGACCTGAGATATTTTACCGCCAGCAAGAAGCCTGGTGAGCCCGCACCTCCCCGCTGTTTTTGTCGAAGATAGAAAATATCTGCGTCAGAGGGGGACCTGAGTTAGCTGAGGGAGAGGGAGAGGGGGGTTTGTCGGCCCGCTGCAGTCTGAATCACCGGAGACTCGCCCCACCGCTGGTTAGTCGTCGACGTCGTTTGTCTGTGGACTTGCGCATCCTCTCAGAGGCAAAGAGCACCGGGAGGGGACGGGGGAAAGAGCCGTTTTTTGACTACCCTGCGCTGCTTGGCAGGGTATGCTAAAGAATGACCCAAAGGGACACACTGGTTCATTTGTTCGCTGGAGGGTAAGCCACATCAGTTTCCTCTATAAATGTTACCTAATTTGAAATATATATTTTGAAACATGACCCCCGTCTGCTTTATCTAGCTAACTCGCCATTTATTTTTATTTTTTAAGGCAGCGCGTGCGTGCCCTTCCAACCTTGGCGGTTGTGCGCACGCGACTGTCAAAAACGGTTCTAGTTGAACTTCCGGTTAACCTGTAAAATATGACCAGTGTCGCTGGAAAGCATTCATGTGAATGTGCCAGAAAGCGCATTCGAGCTCGTTATTCCCAGACAGCAAAGAGCAGCTTGCCTCTTATTTCATCGTCCTTTAAATGCCGGCTGTTTCTGCACAAGTGAGAGCCTTTTATTTTGATGACAAGTGGAATTCATTTCCGGGCTCGTTGTAGCTTTCTCTGAATGACTTGACCAAATGCATCTGCAACAACAGCCATTGACGCTTATTTTTCTGCTGCTATTTTGTAATTTAAGAAGTAGTTGCATAATGCTCACCTATGTGGATCCAATTAAATAATTTCTTTATTGTATTCTTATTGTATTTATTGTATTCTTTATTGTATTCCCAAATGAAATGAACATTTACATCTAATCCACACTGAGACACAAAAATTGTGTGTGTGTGTGTGTGTGTGTGTGTGTGTGTGTG